TAGAGCGTAAAAGATTGCGTCAAATTTAAAATACGGCGCGAGATGAGCGTCTTTAGTGCGGCAATAAACGCCCGAAAATTATTATATCGGCCCGCTCGTAAAATGGGAATTTTGTCAGGAGTTAATCACCTTTAAATTGATTTATTCATTCACCCGTACAAATATTGATAGATACGAAATGTGCCTTTTTATGATTTAATAATCCACAAAAGTTAATTACAGTTTGATTTACTATCGCTGTAAATTAAGAGGAACCGCGCGATAGTACATTGGATAATTAAATGTTCCGTTAAACAATTCGAAAACGTCCACTTTTACCGGTATATTATTTCTTGCGCGAGTTGCTCAATTATCCGCGTACGTGTCGCATTAATCTTTCGCGCGCGATAAGTTTATTTAAACAAATATCGCAGTAAAGCATAATCCAAAATAAAAAAGCCCATTTAAAACGTACAATAACTTACGGTCAATACGTTTAGCAATACCCATTCCCGGAATGTATGGCGCAATTTTCGTCCGACTGTTAAATTTAATTCTAAATTACGACAAATGACACGCCGTTGTGGTCTAACACAATGTAGAAAATGCTCGACAGAACATTAAAACTTGAATTATTGCACGCAATAATTCACCTCCATTCAAAAGAGTTAATACAATCGTTACCGTTGACCCATATAAAACACACTCAATACCCTTTTATAACGTTAATTATATACAATAGAGCGTTTCCGAATTAAACCTCTACATCATCAGTTTCCATAAAAAAAGATCCATCGGATTTACTTTCACCGTTTCAAACAACCACCTGCTTAATAATGTGGAACAATTTCATTTAACCAGCTCCTCTTCCTCGTCGAAATCGACCAGGAGGTGACTTCAACATGCAGGAGGACTTCCACGCATCCTTCTATAAGGCTATGGGAGACCTTCTGGTGGTGGAGAGTGGGCAGCATCGGCAGCGGTTGCTCCATATTTTCCGAATCGACGGGCGGGAATTTATCTCTCGACGATCGGAGTATTTCTGTCGATCGGCTACGATGTGGAAACGGTCCCGGTTTCGTTGTGTTGTTCGCCGACTTTGCGCCATAGGTGTTAAGTTACGACGAGGAACAATTAGTGTTCGGCGTAATAATATGTTTATGTTGCCGATCGGAGCGGCCCACTCTCTGGGCTCTTTCTTATGTTCGCCGGTGATAGAACATCAGTCTGTTGAGTGTAAACCAATCCGGGAGATGTCCGTATGCAAGCAGGAATTATTGGGAGCTAGTAAAATACAGCTAAATGAAGAGAATATCGATGAACGAGAACGAGAAGTGCTAAGAACTGGAACTACCTTTCTTACATTCGGGGAAATTTAGTCATCAAATAACTAACGAATTTAACTTTATTAAGATAAAGAACTATGATGTAGAAGCTTTAAATTTTAAATAGTGACTTAAGTGAACAAATTAGAAGCGAATATTAGCGAAGAATACTAAAAATATCACATCAAGAATCTTCCAAGAAGAAGAACATGTTTAATACAAGATCTGGAAAACCAAAAATTTGTCTAAATACACTAAGAACGAACACAGTGTGGGCAACTTTTAGTTAATTTAGTGTAGATTCTCACGCAAGAAACTTTAAATAAACAACAATTTAGCTCCCAACAATCGTTATTAAACTCAGAATATCTCACAAATAAAAAAATAAACTTTATTAATATACAGAACTCTCAAATGATTAGTACTTTTGTATGATATAGAGGCTTTAATAGTGACCAAAATAGAAGTATTCTAGAGAAGAATACCTACTAAAAATACCACATCCATAATCTTCCAAGAAGAATAAGAGCAAACATTGGTCCAAATACACCAAGAAAGCACCCAGCAAATCACCAACAAGTGTACCACTGTATACATTTAAGGGTAACTTTCAGTTATTCTAGTAGATTCTCCTAACAATAGGAGTTTCGTTGGTAATATTGATTTAGTGGACGGGCTTTGAAGTGGAATAATGCGAGGTTGAAATTATGAGAGGAGCACATTTCGGGGTACCGCCCGCGGTTCTTAATGGACGCCGGTGCTCACGAACCACTTTAAACGCTTCGGATCCGCTTGCGACGGTAGTAAAAAGGCACGGGGAATCGTAATTTGTGGTCGAAATGCAACATAAATTTCTGTGATTGCCGCCAGGTGTCACAATTAAAGACGTTAGACGTATTAGATTAATATCAATGGGCGGTGTACGTGTGTGTGCGCGACCCCGAGGGAGATTTTGGTTGCTTATAAAAGGAGGCCACCTAAACAGAGCTGTTTAATTGTAATTTATTCTCGTTTAAAAAATGATTAAGGATCGTTTGATTGTGTTCGTGGAGCGTGTGCGAATGTAAATAACGTTTTATATATACTTTCGGAGAGTGTATGCTATATAATTTGCTATATCTTAAAATTCTCCTTATCCGTAGCCAATTATCAACAATTGTTGTATGAAAGTTTGGTATATATAAATTGGTAGATTTCAACGTTGCATGACCATTATTAAGCCGCATATGCGGCACACACGATGGTAATAATGTAGAGATCTCGAGTCGAACAAAACCGGCAATTTATAATATGTTAATATTTATTTGTTTTGAATACCATTACGAGCCTTCGACAGATTCATGGCCCGCAGAAAAGTCTTCATCTTTGAAAATTACTGGCTTTTGCCGGAAGAACGGATGCTAATTTCGTATACCTGTACCTTGTCAAAATATTTTCTCTTATAAATACCAGAAAAAAAGTAACGACAATTTAATGAGCATGCATTAAGCGAGCGCGATTTACGGTTATTCCTTCGGAGACCATCGAATTAATCAAAAGTTGTATTTTTGTCCTTGATTAGTTCGAAAACATGGCGTAAAAGCCTCTTTCTTCCCCAAAGATAAAAATGACGCCCCGTTTAATAAAGGCAATAAAATCGAAGGTTCTAAATAAATTTAACATTTTCGAAAAAAATCGTTTCGACGATGATAATTACCGGCTGCATTAAATGCATGCCAGGCCGACTCTGGCCATGAAAATTGATTGGTGACTTACAGCGTATTTAAAATCATTATACAACCAATTATGCAGTTATTCGAAAATACCGGTATCATTTTCTGTAATTTTATATTAACAGCGCGTGATATGGTATTACCGGAATAAATTCAGCCTTTTTTTCCCAACATTAAGGCAATAAAATTTAATCGACGATAAAAGGGTAAGAAGTAACTAATATTGGTAATAATAAAATAAAGTTCAATTTCATTAAATTTAATTATACATACACATATAATTTAATTTCATAACTATTGCTCAATATAAATATATTTTTTAAATCTTTATTTTTCTACAACCAAGCACTGTAATAATAGTGAAATAAGTTCATGGTTGATTAAGTGGAAATTCCAACGGCATTAAAAAACAAACAAACTTATCATATATCGATAATCGATTGTAAATACTTTAGGATTAATATCTATATTCTTACGAACCGGATCCGAGATAAGAAATTATTAAAGAAGTCCTCGATTGCAATAGCTAATTGTAGGCGTGTATCGCTTTCTTTTATTGTCAATATTAAAATGTATAACGGCCCTGAAAGGAAACCTTGGAGTGCAATTAATCGTCGGTAGAAAAAAATCGTACATATTTCATTTTTTACGCCTTATCTTCACTAATATTTCAAAAGATGGAATGCAGATTAGACAATAGGAAATCGATCGATTTATACGAATGTAATGCCACACCAGTCAATCAGAAATTGTACATGGAAATATATCCTTACAATAAACTAATAGCTTTAAATGGCATTACCATTAATGGTAACTGAATAATTTGTTGGTAGCACAATGGAGCCATTCATTTCGTAATTAAAGTGGCTCATGTTTCATTTACTTCTATTACTACGGAGATTTTTATACGAAATTGCTATAGTATAACAAAAATTTTATAATCAAGGTAGCGCCATAATTATCCTGTTTATTTATTTTCATTATTCGCTGTTATCGAACCAGTTTAATAGCAAGTTAAAAAATCTTCGAAAAACTCACAATTAATATCTGACTGTTATTAATGAATGTAATTTACTCGTAATTAAATTGTCACGATTTAATCGTCTAATAATAAAGGATTAATGCACAATTACAGAATCGGCGTATCTGATAAACTTTAAATGTTACCATTTATTAATTACCGGTATTACGACAGTGACATTTGTGGTTCAAAAAACTCGCGTTTAAGATAAAGCAAAAGCATGGGAAAAATTACTTCAACCTTGATGGTACTCTGTGATTAACGAAGGAATTTAATTTTCAATTTTCTTTTCGATCCAGCACCATCTCCCCACCTGTTTAATAACTTAATTAGGTATCCGCTAATTAATCGGCGTAATTCAGTCCTTGATACTGCCTGTTAGCCTCAGAAACGTCATAATTTTTCGAGCCAATCATTAACATTTGATGTTAATTGGATCGGTAACTACTGTGCGTAGTTATTGCATCTATAAAGCGCCTTGTTAACAACTGCCTTTTTCGGACGTTTAGCATAATAATTAACGATAACGATGCTTAACCAAATTAATTCATATTCGTTCACGCTCGACGATCATTCCAATGAAATGTGGTTTCATTAAAGCCCGGTTTCAACAACAACAAATAAATCTATAAATAATTATTCGATCGCTCGATCATAGTTATTCGATCATTCGATCACTATTCCAACTTATTGGTCCAACTTTGGTCCAAATGTGTACTGGATGCATAATGGTTTTATTTTTCGTTGGTGATAAATTGGGCATAAAATTCACATTATCTAAACAAACATCGACATTATGCAAATAAATGTTCATCTAATGCAACAATAAAATATTCAAGCTCGTTACATAATTCTCTATCAAAAATAAATGACATGTTTAATGCAATTGTCAATAATATTACACTTTCTTTAATTTATATTATTTCTTAAATTAAGTTTTATGGCAATTGTAAAACAAAACTGGTATAACTGAGTGGGATTACCTTTAATAATTCATTTTTAGTTAAATATTCGTTGAAAATAGTTTCTCAAAATTTATTAACATAAACGTATCGCATACAGTACGGTATAATTTATTTTAAAATGAACAATTTTAATAGAAATATACTGTAAATATTTTGTATCAAATCAGTAAAATTGTGGCGCATTTAAAAAATTACTAGCTTGGAACAGAATTGGGAAAAAATGGATAAACAAAACGAAAAAACCAAATCATCTACTAGTAGAGTACCAGATACGCTTTTTTTATACATTTCTGTTATAACAGGTAAAGTAATTGATAGATTTTTTTACATGTATTTTTTACAACATTTATAATCTTATGCAGAATGGAACAATAAATATGTAACTTCAATACTCACTATATTTTTTAGCTCATTTAGTATCTATTGCAAGTGGAACATCTATGGTATGGACTTCACCTGTACTAGGAAAATTGTATTCAAATGACACCGAAGTAAATCCCATAGGCAGACCCATAACAACTATAGAAGTATCAATGTTGGCAGCAATACCAACATTTACCAATATCCCTGGAATCCTGTTTATGCCCAAACTTTCTGATATAATCGGCAGGAAGCGGTATTTGCTCAGCGCAGCATTTGTAATGCTGCTGGCAGGAGTTGGTTTAGCTTTTAGTAATAACGTGGCATTAATGATAATTACGAGGTGTATTTTCGGTTTTCACGGATCTTGGATGGTTGTATGTTTATATGTAGCTGAAGTGACCGAGGATCACAATAGAGGGAAATTCGGTTGTTATTTCGGAATATTGCATCAAATCGGACATTTGTTTGGGTTTGTGATAGGGCCGTTTTTCAGCGTGAAATATTTCACGTTGATTACCATTTCTCCTTTATTGATATTCCTTGTTATCTTTACGATGTTGCCCGAAACACCGATGTATTTATTGGCTAAAGGTAGAGAGGAGGAATGCAAAATGGCTTTGAGGAAATTGAGAAGCAACAAAACCGAGGAAGAAATAGAGGTGGATTTGGAGAAATTGAAAGAAAACCTAAAGAAACAGAAAGAAGAAAAAGGGAAAATAACTGATTTGACAAAAAAACGGGAAAGCAGATTAGCTGTAATTTTAGGCTTATTACCGTTGATAACTACATACTGTTCCGGTGTTACTGTAATATTCACGTTCTTAGCACCATTTTTTGATGAAGCAGGCACCAGCTTATCAGGTGACATAGTAGCAATTATTATAGTTGTTTTCAAAATAACCTTTTTCCTCTTGACTTCTTTAGTAATAGAAAGATTTGGTCGAAGGAAAATGTTTCTTATATCTTCCACTAGTACCGCTATTCCTTTATTTCTACTAGGAATTTACTTCTACCTACAAAGCATCGATTCATCGTTAATAGCATACCTTCAATGGTTACCCCTAACCTGTCTTATATTTACAGTTTGCTTCTTCGGATTAGGTTTGGGTCCAATTGCTCAAGCATTTGTAGCGGAATTACCATCGGAAGAGCTCAGAGCGGTGACTTCTTCACTAGTGCATTCAATTGGTATTTTCGTATCATTTGCTTTAACATTTTTGTATCCCATAATATCGGAATTGGGTGTACAATGGTGTGTATGGTGGTTTAGTATGAATTGCGTCGTCGGTTCGATTTTAATGTATTTCTTTTTGCCGGAAACCAAGGGAAAAAGCTTCGTCGAAATACAGGATATGCTGAAAAATTATTCGAAACTTCGAAAGCAATGATACAAAAATGTGAACTATGATAGAGTTAAGTAAGTCAAGTTATCTTTCCAGACATTTTATTGTTGTTCTTATGAACTACAGATTAGATTAAAGTCTTCTGTAAATACTATTATAGTTGATATATTTTTTATTAATGTGTTAATTATTATAAAAAATAAAATAAGTAAAATTTGGAAAACTATATATTCTCTACCTTTTTGTCAATATTCAGCAAATTACAAGTATACAAGTATACTAGTTATATTACGAAAATGTTGAATCAAATAAGCGTTAGATTTATGTTTTATTATAAGTAAATTGTTGAAATCTCCAAAAATATGATTCAGCTTATTTGCGTGTAAATCTTAATAAGTACAAAAGGCTATAAAGATTTTATAATAAGTATTATATGCAGCTCTATTTAAATTCCTATTTATTGGCTTTGCACCTATTTAAATGGTGCTTGCAGTCGTTAAATATTTAAAATTTATTAATTAACAATAATGAAATAACAAACCTGTCTACGAAAATGAAACATATCAAACGATAAACGAGGAATATGATCGAAGTAATCTTTTACCTCAAGAGGTGGAAACCCGACACGGTATTTTTGTATTTTTGCGTTATGACTGGTAAAATTATTATTTTTATATTACCAAAACGTATAAACTTTTATAATTTTATACATCAGAGTGTTGGAAAAATAATTACTCCTACGCCACGGTGGGAAACTTGCGATATTTAGCTGCAATGTTGGTTGCATATCAAGCATTTATTGCACTTGTTATACGAGATACGCGCAATGATAAAATGATTGAATTAGTTCTGGTTTGAAGACGGGTAGATACTTTTTCTCGCACGGGCAATTTATCAGTTTAAAGCGCTTTGTTAGAGAATCCTCCACATCGCATAAACTCGCATACGCAGATACCGAAGATAACCGTTTTGCCTACAGAAAATCCGAGTACTCGAAATGAATTGTTGCGCAATTTTCGAGCCGGGAATCAATCTGACGTCGCCGAAAAAAAATAAATAAAATAACCGAAAGATCTGATAAGGAACCTTCACTCGATCGAACAATAAGCGTTGCCAAATATGAGCTATTAGGAACCGAAAAGTTCGAAGGTTAGACGCTTTTATAACATTATCGGAAATCAGTTTGGCATTAAAATAAAGGATTATTAATATGGATGACATGTAAATGGCGTACAAACACTTTTAAACGTCTAAAATGTTTAACGTTGTTGGTAATTCGCTTAAGTAGGTAGGTGTATAAGTGTACGCACCTTAAAGCTACAGAAGAGAATAAAAAACCGCTTGCGTATTATTATTGTTTCAAAATATAATTAATACTAAAAATAATGGATATAATTAGGCCATGAGTTTTGTAATATCTCATAATTAAACTTTTCTAATTCCGTATACAGTATGTTATAAATCGTTATAAATACGCAAAAGGAATATGTCGTTAGCGATGATAAGTCTATCGAAGGATATTCGAGGTAAATAAATCGATTAATTACGCACAGGAAGGAGCATTAAAAATCGATGGAATTCGCTGATTTTTGTACGAAATAATTATTACTAATTGAAATGCTTAAACAAAACACTGAGCCGGCGCGTGATCTGATTGATTAATTAATTCCAGAAGAGATTTATTAATGAAGCCGATAATTTATATGCGACAAATAGAAATAATTGGAAACGGCATTCTTTTCGGAAATATGCGTTAAAAAACCGCATTTTAACTAATCGATATAATAAAATATTTTTATTTATCTATTAATAAACATTCGGTATATTGGAATTTGGTTGGAATTTGGCGCACACCTCAACCTATGTATATGAAAAAGTAATTTAAGAATCATTTGTCGCATTAATTTAAATAATTCATGAATATAAATCTCACGCATAATCTCTAAAATTACGATTATTTTAACCAACAAACAACTTGATGCACTTACAAGAAACGGCACTAATTCCAAAATTATTACAACAATTATCTACAAATTTACATCTTTCATAACATTCAATTAATTCCTACCATACATCTAATAGACTTATATCGCTAAAAAACTACACAATCAAAACCCCATTAGTATCTGCTAGTAATTAGCGTAATTATCCTCTATCTTCGCGGAGCTACTCAATTCATCTCGACTCATTTATTTCGAAGCACCTCAACGCAAATGTGTATAGTAAACCGGCAATCTCGGCTAAAAAGCCTCCTCTAACAACCCATAACATTTGACCCCAACTCCCACGTACGGCGTTTACTGCTTGCCTTTACAACCTACGAACGCATTCTGAAGCCAAACATATTCATTTCGCCGTGTATGACGTTTAAATTTCCACTATAAAATTTCCCGGCAGCCGAATTCAATTTGTAAAAATGCCTCGGCAGCTCCGATTGCCCTCGGGCGGTTTCTACGCCGCTTTGGAGCGGATTTAAAGCGCCATAAGTCACTGAATTAATTCGGTTCGTTTGGTTGGCAATTAATAGGGAGCCAAAGGGGGGAATAACTCGAGATTTATCGCAGAAAACGATTGGGACTCGAGGGCTAACGATGCAATCGCAATTCCATTATTATCTATGAATGGGAGAAAATCTACAACAACATCGGAATGTGCACTCAATAAGAGTAGAGTTTATTCGAAGATACTTAGAAAAAAAAGATCAAAAGCTTAGAGATCTCTACTCTATACTCTACTACTTTTATTTTCTTATACAGTACATTTCTTTAATGTCCCCCCCCCCCTTCTATTTTTTGAACGGGTCAACTTAGAAAATTGAAATTTGGGATAATGAAACTAATGCATGATTACTATATTTTGGAGTAAAATTGACAGATGAAAATTTCAAGATGGCGACTGGGCGCCATCTTGGAAAATAAATTTAAATGGAAAGGGGTGTCTTGTGATACATCATTTTGAAGCTCCTGACAAATACTCTACAACCCTGAAATATAAAGTCAATATCTGCACCTGCTACAAAATGGCGGAACATTTAATAATTACCTGAATACAAACAAAATAATATCAATTTTTCTAGAAATATTTGTTTTTCTATGGCAAACAGCAATCCCAGCAAACCGATAAGGTTTGACAGGTTATTTTTGGTTAAAAAAATTCCAAAAAATTTAAGTACGACAACGAACATTAATTGTTTAGTCAAAATATGCTCATTTAGTTTTTGGTTTTCCTAGTGTTCAAAATATTCTCTTTAGTTTTCGATTCTCCCAGTGTTCAAAGTATTTTCATTTAGTTTTCGGTTGTTTAGTTCTCATTGCAGTTAGGTAGCACGTCAACTAACTCTAAAATGGCCAATTCTCGTCCATTGGAAGATGGAGCACCACCACATTACTCCAGACAAGTAATGAACTATTTGGATGCTATTTTCCCTGGTCGTTGGATCGTTGGATTGGTCGTCGAGGTCCTACGGAATGGATTTGACCAGAATTTGACCAGATTTGACACCTTTAGACTTTTTTTATGGGGCTATTTGAAGCAAAATGTGTACGAAACTAAACCTGCTTCAATATTGGATATACGAGAAATAATTACAGATATTTGTAAAAATATCGACGTTACTATGTTCGAAAATGTTCGGATAGGCTGTTCTTGTATCAAGAAGTTCAAGGCAACCATTTTGAGCTTTTTTTGAACAGAACTCAGCTTATTTCCTCAAATTATGACGTTAAACGTCGATTTATTCAGGTAATTATTAAATGTCCACCATTTTGTAGCAGGTGCAGATATTGACTTTATATTCCAGGGTTGTAGAGTATTTGTCAGGAGCTTCAAAATGATGTATCACAAGACCCCCCTTTCCATTTAAATTTATTTTCCAAGATGGCGCCCAGTCGCCATATTGAAATTTTCGTCTGTCAATTTTACTCCAAAATATAGTAATCATGCATTAGTTTCATTATCCCAAATTTCAATTTTCTAAGTTGACCCGTTCAAAAAATAAAAGGGGGGGGGACATTAAAGAAATGCACTGTATATCTAGATATTCTCGAATTTACTATTACTTTAATATACCACTCGTGGAAGTTTAGTTGCCTAACTTTCATTAAAAAAACGCTCCAATACCAGACGTTGATTAATCGCCTATAATAAAAAAAGCTAATTCGATTATTTTAATTGCTTTATTTGTATTTAGATTTTTTTTGGTGTGATACGAGAGAGCTCTTTTGCTCGGGACAAAAAAATAATATGTAACTCGGTAATTGTGTACGAGGAATTTACCGCGCGCTATTAAAAAGTCATTTAGGAAATTCGCTTTTAACTCTTCAGAGCAAATATTTGCCTAATGATGGCGGGATTTTTTTAGTTCGCAGGAAGAAATGTTGATTGAATCGAGTTTAATTAATTTTGTTATGTTTAGATGTGTATACGAAACGGGAATTCTGATTTGAATTAATTGGGTTTCATCGGCACAATGTTTAGTAATAAATTATATTTCGCATTTTCTTGCATTTAAATGGTTTTTTTGTCTGGTAAAAGTTTTCCACGTGTACGGTATTTTGTGAATAATTTAATTTATTTGAACTTTCTTGGATAGACGCAAAAGCGATATTAATAATTCTTCACCGGTTTAATTTACATTAGAAATCAATTAATATAGATATAATATTGTTTAAATTCGATTTACAGGTACAAGTAGATTTGATTTATGATTTAATAATGTCGACAAAAAGTTGTTGCCGGCTAACTTAGTATGTTAACATAGGCGTTTTTACGGATTAATGAAGGAATAAAATTGCATTATTTTTCTAGAAATGTAAGAAAAAAAAAATGCATCCTATTGAAAATGCATTTGTATCTAGAATTTAACCTTGCAAGGCAAAATATCTCATTTTTTATTCGCTTATTGTCGCTTTGCAACGTGAAATTTTTCCACTCTTACATGTTACAATAAATTAACTGAATTTTTCTCTCCATTCGCCGTATAATTCGATCGCATTTGTTATTGTCTATTAGATAATAAGTTTAAACACAAATAAATCTCTCGGATTCCTGCCGGCGGTTTTCCTGCGCCGTATAATTATCTCGAATCGGTATTGTAGAAAACCGAAAGTGAATCAATTATTGGAACCTTTTATTAAAAACTTTTTACACGTGACATGCGGATTGTTTAAAATAACCTATACTTTTCTCTTCCA